ACTTCTGGTGCAGGTTGGGCGGCGCTGTGGGCAGCTGCCTTGCGGCCGGTGTCGCTGCGGGCTCCCTTGCTCTCGCCTACTTTCTGGCTCAGGACTTCGGCGATTGAGATGTCTAGAACCGTTCTGCAAATTGACGTACGGCCTGAACTTGCAGCACGTTCTGTTACCTGCTGCGACAAGCCCGCAGCAAAATTAAAGTGTGGATCTGCAAGCCTTACCATAGCAAAATTAAAGTGTGGATCTGCAAGCCTTACCATAGCGAATGGGCAGCCAGGGTAGGGAAAACTGACTGGGTTGCAAAGGCATCGTGGGAGTAGGATGGAGGGTTTGGTGCACCTACCTATATTCTTTCCTCGAATGAATTCCCGAAACATGTTCTCGCCGGACCCACAAGGAACGAAACCCTTCAAACTTGCAACCCGACTAAACCAAAGCTCATCTTTAGCCAAGGTGCTACTTCATTGTAGCAGATACCTTGCCAGGGTTCCCAGCTGTGAGTGCTGAAACCCTGGCCCTGGAGTCCTAGAGGACTGGCTGACCCGGCTCTACGTGCGCACTGGTCGGCTCTTTTGGCTCCGGGCGACAGATCAGACCTCCCAGCCTTTCAAGCTCCAGAGGCTGCCCGCTGCGAAATCCTGCACCCTAACCGGGCACTAGCCCCGAAGGTTCTTTTAGAAACTCGTATTTGACTTTGGTATAATATGGCCTTGACACACAGACCCTAACACCTCTGGCGCTAAGGTCAATGATTTTGGGGCTTCTGGAGTGTCGGTTGTGGGATGTGTAACTTGTCCCGTGCATTTAATGTCGCGGCTTCTTCAATTTCAGTTTCAATGTTTCATCAGGATTTCCAGGTTTGCACGCCTATGGCTCCATCTCTCTGTCGGTCGGTGCTTCGGCGTGTAATTTCGAGCTTAGGACTACCTTAAGGGGGTTGTGGTCTATAGTGTCGATTAGCGTGGGGCCTGGGGGTCTCTCTGCGTTTGGTCCAGGTTCGAGGGCCGGCATGCACTGCTCACGCCACTCAAGTCCGGCGAGGAGTTGAAGGTCCACGGGTGGGTTTAAGGTTTAGGCTTCTTGCTTGATATACCGCTGCCTTCTTCGGCGAGTTCGTTAGCAAATTCTGCAGATGCTTGGGTGCTTGGTCTTGGGGATCTGCCAGCCGAAGCATGCCAAGCATGAGGGCTTCTGAGGGCTAGCGATGGGCATGCTTTGTGCGAACTGCACAACATGCGAGGAATCATGAGTGGCTCTCGTGACCGCACATGCGCAGCCAAGCTGCCAAGGTCGTAGTGATACTGTAAGCTGCAGGTCGCAGCATCATGCATCTGGGCCGATAGGGAGCATTCCGGTTCCGCCGGGCTGCTGATTTGCAAGCTTCCTTCTGGCCCAGAGAACCTTCGCAAGCCGAACACATGCCTGTTTACTGCTCTCAGCCATCTACTTATTCCCATCTGATTCCCTTTCGATATCCACATCTTTGTTTATCTACCACTCGAACAAGCTGTTTGTCGTTCTGCCTGCTTGTCTATGTATCCGACTGCCTGGTTTGCATGGCTGTCGCCCCTCCGTCTTTCTTGTATCCCTTGCTGCCCGTGTGTTTCTATCTGCGCTTTGCCTGGGCAGCATGCAGCGGCATGCAGCAGTACACACGGCAGGTACCAGCTTCTCAGCTTGGCGGCTCCCAACGCGGCACTGTGCGCCCTGTGCGAATTGCTATACCTATCGGAGAAGATACGAAGGCAGACATGATCGCAGATCATGTTCGTGGCTGGGCCAAGAAAGCGATTCGTGTACATGTGAGGTCCGTGAGGTATACAAGTTTCTTTAGTTCGGTAAGACAAGCGCGCTCCATTAGCCGTCGGGCTTGCTATAGGGTTGCTTGACAACGCCTTACAAAGGACTTTGGCGGCCTTTTTTGCAGGGTAGTTGGGGTTCCCGCAGATACTGAAACACTGGTCGTCTCGCATGGCAAGCCATGTGTCTGCCCTTCCGGGCAAGCGCGAATATGTTGGCCTAGTCCAAACTTTGCCCATGGGCTTGCGGTCTTTCCCCCAATCGAGTCGTCAGGGACATGTCTGTTCTGCGTGCGCTGCCTCGAGCCGGGAGTCTTCAATGCTCAGGAAGTGCCCTCAAGCAGCAGGATGGTCTTCTCCATCACCAGTCTTTGCAGCCAAAGGTTTGCGCTGCCCAGCCGCATTCTTGATGGTAAAGCGGCTGCCGTGACTATTATAGGGATGACTCAGGGAGATGGAGGAACGGAATCCTGTGCCTGAGATCCAAAAGCCCCTCCACGCAGGTCGCAGAGGATGGTCGGGTCATTTGCGTGGATGCCTTCCTGGAAGGAAGTGCGCCGAAGGACAAGGCAAGCTAGGTGGAAAAGAGCTTGGGTCGGTTTGGGTTGAGGGTTCATAGAATCCGATGGAGGCATGATTCTGCGGCACGGTGTGGCTTGACGACAAGCCGCTACATGATGAAGTCCTGGGAACATATCGCAGACAAGTATAACAGCCTAGACTCTGGCCTAGACTTGAAATTGAAAGTCAATTTTACAGCAGGTATCCTCAGAGTCTAGTCCTTGATCTGCGAGTCAAGCTTCTTGGTTTTATAGGGCTGTAGTATTTCCAGCAACAAAGCTAAAGAAGGCAATCCCGGACCTCAAAACGATTTTACCAGCGGTCAGCATCTCGTCCAAACATACGAGAGAGTGATCGCCGAGAACAGTGGACCCTGCGGCACAGAGTTTCGGAGCAATCTCGCATGTACTGGCAGCAAGCAAGCCTTTCGGAGCAGGCTTGGCAAATACGATCATCGCTTCTGCTTGCAGTGTCTTGGCTGCAGAGAGAGTGCCGGTGTACGCAGAGGTGTGATGAGCTCAGATGCACGGATCCTAGCAGCATGTGGTTGCAACTGGTTGACTGCGTTCGAGTCTATATGATTCTATGAGTTCCTGCGAAACCCAAATCCCCTAAGTTTTTAAACCTGAATCCCTGTTACCCGGACTTGTCTTGAAGCCCTGCCTGCCTCGTGCGGGCCTTGTGCCCGCAACCTTACTACAGCGATTATCTAGGTATGGCAAACAAAGGTCCCTTTGTTCACCAATCTTCGAAGGAGTTCTTTATAAACACTTTCAATTTCCACCCCCGTCGGCCCGAAGAGTTTAAGGGTGAGAAACCTTAAAGCCCCCGCACCTATGAACCCTGTGCATTTAACCCTGTGCCCCATCAGAGCTTTACCCCAACCCACACGAATATTCACGCTCCTGTGCGTATTTTTCAAGGCTGCAGAGGCGGCGTGCTGAACATCGCACGGTACGGCTTTTTTTTTTTTAGCAAAACATGAGGGCACTACAACTCTTGCTACACATTTGAGTCCAATTCCAGGCCTATAAGGTTAATATTTCAACTCAACTCGCAACGAGATCTCACACATTCAAAGATAATTCATTATATTGACTCTGATGAATCATTTAGGACACAAATAATATATCTTTATATATATATATGTTCTATTCATATCGACTTGGGATTTATAGATTCATTTTTCGAACACGATTTTTTGGTTTCATCCTCAAAGATGCGTTAAAATTGATGAATTTGATATCAATTATTTTGAATTTAATAAGAATGGAATAAAAATTTCTGATTTCTTTTTGAAATATAGATGTTATTTCATTTAGATCTTCTTTTAAAACTTGATTCTCTATTGATAATTTCATAAAAAATTATGATTTAATATTTTTATTTTATTAGTATAATTCCTATTATTATTTTTATTTCTTTTATTGATATACGATAATTTAGAAGAATATCATTCTATAAAATAAAATTTGATATGAATATCTAAATTGATTGAAAATTTTTAGAAAAATATAATCTATTATAGAATTTCTTTATTTTATTAAATATATTAACTTTACGATTGAAAATAT